ACTTGGGAACCCTATATACATATGTGTGTGCGTGTCACTTTTCTGTCACATCGCTCTTAGCTGCTACATGTACAAATTTTCATTCGATAGCAAAGGGGAAAGTTACAGCGGATCTGCCATTACCGTGCGACAGACTACTTATATAAAACACTACCCGAGGGGGCTATGAAAACATAATTGTTCAGCAAAATTATCTTAATGTTGAGAAAAATGGCTTGCCCGCAGGACCAGTGAATTCTCCATTAAAGGGATTAGATAGTGCAGCGTTATGAGCATCCTGTTTGTGGCAATCTAAAATCCCTTAGATCACGCACAAGGCTTATATTAGAAACTCTACAGGTTTAAGAAAAAGAAATTCCTTGATAAACAATCTACTTCTCTTGCAAGGCATGTGTATACACATGTGCGCAAGAACGGACACGCTTTTATCACGACATGTGCACGTGGTTATTATCATGTTCTACCTATGTGAACACGGCCAGTCAGTAATTCTATAGGTTATAGGATGAAATGTTTTAAATGGGGCGAATTTGGCAAGTAATGAATGGCAGGCAAATGACAAATACGGTAGTTTATTTTACTAAATCACGAAGTAATATTGCAATACGGAGCAAAAATACCAATTGAATAACCGAACTAAAATTAAAAATTTTGAATTCAGTTTCAGGTGTCTTCGGTTACTTTGTAGCACAAATGCTCAACAGATAGTTTGCTTTATTGGCGGGAATTTCAATGACAAATAAAATCGAGCACAGCCTGAACAATATCTGTCCAGTTTTAAACAGCTTTAACAGCCTTAGGATCAAGGTCAAAAAATTAACTTCAAATGTGTTAAGCAAAGGCTTTGTCCATTCTCCATAAAACAGTAAAATAGACTAATTAATTAGATGGAGAATATTCAAGGTCTTGATGCATTAATATAATAAAAGCCCATCCGAAAGTTTTCTCTAAATATTTCATACATGCGGTAGGCTTATCCTATATTAAAGAAAACTCAGGAGAATTTCAACCATTTACCGAGCGAAAAGCAAGACAATGAATACACTATTCATAGAGACATTTGCAACATAAAGGTATGATGGCAATATTCATGCATACTAACCTATTTTGAAATCGATGTACTAAGCTATCCCCTAAAATCGTAATGAGGACGATAATGTAGTAAGAGAAACATGTGATATTGATGGAAGGAATGAAAGGAAGAGATATTCTGAAATAACGGTTCATTCTAAAAGGAATAAAAAAGCAGGTATATATACCTGGGTTACACGGCAACAGACAATGAAAAATGTGAAAGAGAAATAGAAATAGGCATTGAAAGATCAGCATTTGAGAGCTTAGCTAATGCTATAAGATAAATAAGCATTAGTCTTAGGCGGCGCATCATTAATGTTATATCTGGTCAACACTACTTTACCGCCCAGAGGCATGGACACTAACAAAAACGACAATGAAAAAACTGGAAACGTTTGAAATGTCGCTATATGAAAGGATGTTAAAAATATCATGGACTGAACATAAAAGTAATGAGAAACTAACTAAATTATCTAAAAATAAAAAAGATCATTATTGAACACCATTACGAAAAGAAAATTAACTTATTTTGGACATATAACAAGAAAAGATAATTTGCAGTGGTTGTTATTAGAAGGAAAATTAAATGGGAAACGAAGAAAAGATTAGGATAACCAAGAATAACATGGATGGACAACATAAAACTAATCAAAATATAGCGAACGCATACGATTGGCACAAGATCGAAAGGCATGGCGACCTATGACAGCCAAGCTGCTGAGAGTGGATGGCACCCAATGACGATGATGATGATGATGATGATAGGAGGAATAGCCTGCAACTTCCAAAGCGTTTTAATCTCTCTCTCTCTCTCACTCTCTCTCTCTCTCTCTCTGTCTCTCTGACACACAAACAACACACACGCACACTTTTTAGTTTTCAGGGGTATTAAACGACGTATATCTTTTATCCTTCAGCTGTATACCTATCCAATACAAAGTATTAATTTTTCATTCAAACAGATTTTACATTTTTGTAATACACCGGCGCTTTTATATCAATTTATTTCTGATATTGAGTTTTAATTGGAATATTTTTTTCAAATTATTTTTCTTTTACGCACCGTTAAACTGGCTACTTGTATTCAAAATTTCAAAATCAATTGTACAAGTGTTATAGAAATATAGATAGTTTTAAGAGATCTATGCTCTCTCCTAGTCATGCTAGGACCAGCCCAAAGGGTTCTACCCGATGGAATTATCGCATATTACTTAATGCAGGCGTACTACAGACAACGTAGTCAATTAATTGGAAGTGGTTCACCTGACTACACATTTTCTATTCACGTATCTCATATCAGACAAAAGGGAAAAATGCGTTTTATCCCTAGGCATACCTGAAAAAAAAAGCTGAAATATTACACCTTTAATGTCACATGTAGGTCTGTATTTATTGGCAGAATGTTATTCACTGTAAGAATCAGAGGTTATTTTTTATTGCTTAAGTTGCTAAGGACTAAACGGAACTTATGGAGTCTATGAGAAACAGTATTCACAAGTACAGCTGCATTGAGCAATGTGCTACTGAAGTAGCGAATATGCGTAGTGATAACCAAGTAGCTGACGAGCTACCTAGGACGGCTTAAGTCTCAAACTCAATAACAGACAGTGATTGTTCATAGAGCTATGGTACTGTTTCTGACCCCAACAAAATTGATTTGTTTAAAATACAAATGTTATCAATTTTTCAATTATATAAGCATGACTATTTGGTTGTCCGGCTATTTTAAGGAATTGGTTAGAAAACAAAGATAGATTTAATCATTTTACTTTTTTTTTTACATTTGGGAAGGTCTTTTTCTTTCTTGCTTGGGTTACTTGTCGAGTTGTACCCAAGATTTTCGAAAAGTGGACCGAGCACATTTATCCGATAGCCCTTGCGATATAAGTCCAGAACTCACCTTCTGTATACTTTTATTATACATATTCAAATAGAATACGGTATATGGACAGCTTTCAAGCTTTCGTATTGTTGATCCACAGCAATGTGGTAATTGTAACAGGCAGGTTTCTGATGTGGTGTGTTAGGTGTGACACAGCCCAAATGCCAGGATTGTGTTTTCTTTTTTGACCCTTTTCTTCTAAAAGAGTGGGTGCGTTTATAACATATTTTTGATGATTTAAACATACTTTTAACTTTTCAAATAAACTTTTGTTAAGTTTTGTCTCCATGGTGACCAAGTGTTTCCAGCATTGTTGTTGTAGAAAAGAAAGCGAAATAAAAAGAAAAGAAAAGAGGCAAAGAATTGTTTAACATTTCGTCTTTAGACTTCAGCATAAGAATCAAAACACACACTCACATTCACACACACACACACACACACACACACACACACTGAGTATTTCAAACGGGTTATAGCGATGATGAGCTAATTTGTAAACAAAACAAAAATAAATTATCAGATGTTAAAGTATACAGACTAACAGTGTAGAAAAAACGACAGCAACAAATGTTTTATCTTGATTTAGCATATACCCCCTTTACACTGGACGGCGTCCTTTCTGCGTCCTTTCTGCGACCATGAAATTTGGCATCGCTGTGGTCTTAATAAGGAGGTACGAGCATTAATTTTGTATCAGAATGAATGCTCAATGATCGGCCAGTTGTCGGCACGTAAAATATTATAATTTTTAAACTCTCAAATGGGGCCGGACTGCGGGACGCAGAAAGGACGCCGTCCAGTGTAAAGGGGGCTTTACTGACAGTGTACAGAGGGGGGATACGGGGGGGGGGGTGAAAGATGTTCTGGTACAGTGTAATCCAGCATCAAGGCCAGTGTCTTCCTTCTACATGTAACTCTTGTAAATTCATTATTTCATTATTCCAGATATTGCGATAGATACAACACTCGTCACTGAGCAGCTGCACATGTACGTGAAAAAATACAAGTGTATTGTCCAGCCGCTGGCGAGAAAATACACGAGTGGTTTTCACGTTCAGCTCTGTGCCGACTATTGTACGCGATAGATACAATACGAGTCGCCGAGCTGTACGCGAAATATTACGAGTGCATTGTTTAGCCGCAGGAAACGTACAAGGTACCCGGACTCTATGCTCTATACTATATGCTTCGCTTTTTTCAGGCAGTCCGTCGGACGGTTAGTTTTATAAATGAGGGTCCGGTGGAATGGACTCTCTGTTACGTCACACCGGTCAGTATGCGGCTATCTCGATAGCAATTCAATTCACCGATAACTGAGGCAATGGTGATAACGATTTTGATCGAACATGTCAACTTTTTTATAACTATAACCAAAGAGTTACAACTGTTGGAACTCCTTGCTATAACATGCTTTACATGTACCCATGCATACATGTATGAATTTCACACTATTAATCCCAATCCTATAAAAAGGCTTTCTCAGACGTGAATCGCGGGGTCACGTGACACGGCTTACCGGTGATATATAAATGGGGGCCCAGACACAATGACCTGTTGACTCAACGGAGAAAGGTATGTACAGGTTCATATAGGTGGACTTTAGGCGTGGCATAGAGTTGTGTTTATTACGCGTTTGTTTTTGCATTTTGTGTCCATTTGTGACACCAGCCTCTCTAATTTTCAGTGCGTATCGTACAGTATGTGTATATTTATATGTGCGTGCGTGCGTGCGTGCGTAAGTGAGTGAGTTAGTGCGTTTGTTTGTGTGTAGTCGCTCGTACATTTAGCCTATGAAAGTCACTTTCAGTTCTTATTACTGTATCTTAAGGAAGAAATGCTCTTTTCAACTGAACACTTCTTCATAACATTATTTTCTATTTTCATTTTGATCCAACTCCACCATGCGGAGACCTAAAATGGGCGATTTTTATAAAAAAAACGAAATAATAGGCCTATCCACAGTTAGTCCTGCCCTCAATATATAAGATAAACCTTAGGTTTACATATGTAGCAAATATGATAAGATCCAATAATAACAATCAGATTTAACAACTCAATGATTCAGCATTTTAGAGGTGCCATAAAAGGGTCCTCCTCAATAGGATTCACTTAACTGATATTAATACCCGCTTCCCTAGGAGAACAAGGTATGTGAATGCTTTTGCGTGTCGTACGTGCATGTGCGTGCGTGCGTGCGTGCGTATCAAGCGGGTGACAGTTTCATTTAAACGCGTCTACAATTTACAATCTACAATTTAAGTACATATGAACCCTTTGTTCCTCAGACTGTCATATTTGATACTTTGTCTTGAAAACGCGAGAGGCCGTTTATTAAAATAACGTTTTTGGTCAAATCTCTATCACACAGGGTCAGTAGGCCTACTACGTTTAAATAGTTGCGATTTCATGAAATATAAAAGATAAGGCAAAACCCTATTTGTACTGCACCTTACATGGTTGCGCAACACTACCTCGCAACTTACAGGCGCAGCAACCGTACAAAAGAAAATTGTAATTACAACTAATAGGCCATGTAAGCTACAAATTTTTATTTATCTCTTTTACTAATCTCCAAGCTTATTTATTTACAGTTTTTCCCAGTCCGGATCAAGCGCCTAGTTTCAAACCACCAGAATGTCGAAAAATTTCAAATACACCTACTTTAATGCGGCCGCTCGCGGAGAGCTGGGTCGTCTAATATTTGCCGAGGCCGGAGTAGCTTACACAGACAAAAGAGTAGAGTTTGCGGAGTGGGGCGAACTTAAACCAAGTAAGTTATATAATGATATTATTGAATTCCTAACTGCCCTCATTTATTGATTATTTTTTGTTCAAGATAGTTTGCATTCATGGACTGACATGAAATTACTCCCACCGATGTTCGAATGACTTGCATTTTGAATTTTATAGTGCGTTTGCACTAGGTCACTGCTGCGTTACATGCCTTAGCCGCTTTGACTGTAAATGAGTTCACAAATCAAACATTAATCACGCCAGATATTTGCACATTGTGTCTATAAAGGAGGTGCGTAAAACTACATACATCATATTATAATTAGTTGTAATATCTGTCATGTTTTCCACCTCAAGATGACATGAGTGTCGTAGCACAAAATGCGGTTTGTCATAAAGGTACAAATAGCACCTAAATATACACAATAACGCTTTTACTGTGGGACGCCTTCTTAAATGAAAGAAAGGGATCATCAGGAGACCCGCTGCGTTTCAGCAAAGAAAGGCTACACAGTATACCTTCTGATATTAGGGGCTTCTAATATAGAATTCGAGATTCAATATGAGCCATACAATAATTTTGTAGCATACTAGTGGCGCACCCTGTGGCCAGAGAGTAACTCCACCGTATGGCATCTTGTTGAATACAAAATTTCAGGGCGTGTGCCCCAGTACCTAGGGCTGTACAGGTGGGCTCGAAATGAGCGTCAAACCTTCATGTTTATGTACCCCAAAAAAGGCTGGAAATGTCAACACATTTCCATTAATCACCAAGGTATAATAACCAAATAGTTGACACAATTACGATCTAAAACTTCGTTTTTTAGTGCTAGGTTTCTGATTCTTGAGTAACGCTCGGAATAGAGAGGGTAACGGTGAAATAGAAATTTAAAACTCCATACCAGGTTTACACCTAAATAATGAAGATAAATTATTGAGAAAAATTGACGATTTACCTATATTAAGTTCTACCGTGCAATGTACAGTATACCTATAACCCGTCAAACGACTTGCTACCAACAAATATTTGCACTGCTATACAAACTCTACGCACAGTATCTTAAGCCTTCTTGTTGTGGTAACTACCTGTACATTTGAAGGGGGGGGGGCGGTTTTTAGGAGTGACAGGGCGCGGATGCGAATCCGATTCTCGCCCCCTCCCCCATGGCATGGGGTTCAGGGCCCGCTGAAAGGCCCAAAAAATATTGGTATTTTAGAGGACGAACGGTGCCATTTGGTACGGTTTAGAACTATGATTCCGCTGGTCAAAATTCTAATTTCAAGAGGGGACCATTGGTGTGTATTTTTTTTTTCAGAAATCGAAGGGGGGGGGG